GGAAAAATAAAAACAAGGATGCAGTATGCCACACTTGGAATTCATGAGCATCCTGTCTGTCATATCAATGCATTAACTTAAGAGAATGAAATGAAAAACTGCAAAATCATGTTCACATCATAAGATTATCTAACTTGTTAAAATTACAAAATCATTAATTATGAACTCTTAAGAACACATGATTTATTGGAGTAACTGGATACAAAATACATTTAAACATCATTAGCCCTCTGAATACATGATAACCCTAAAATGTCCGCGGATATTCTATTTAGTAGGTAAAATATTCCTATCGAAAAATAATCTTTTTTTTGAGACCAGGTCTTGCTCTGTTGCCCTGACTGGAGTGCAATGGTGCGATCTTGGCTCTGCCTCCCTGGTTCAAGCTATTCTTGTACCTCAGCCTCCCAAGTAGCTGGGATTACAGGCGTGTGCCACCATGCGCAGCTCAGTTTTTTAATTTTTGGTAGAGATAGGCTTCCACCATGTTGCCCAGGCTGGTCTCCAACTCCTGAGCTCAGGCAGTCCACCTGCCTTGACCTCCCGGAGTGCTAGGATTTTAGGCGCATACCACAACAGGCTAATTTTTATATTTTTTAGTAGAGACGAGGGTTTTGCCATGCTGACCAGGGGTCTCTGACCCTTGATCTCAAGTGATCCACCCACCTTGGCCTCCCAAAGTGCTGGGATTACAGGCGTGAGCCAGCACCCAGACAAATAATTTTAATTATTAATAATTCCACAGATCTTACCTTGCTGAGAAACCAGGTCCTGGAGAGTTTTCCCTGAGTGGTCTCCAGTCCTCCTCAACTCACTCCAGAAATAAATGTGATCATTAGACCCATTGCACTCATAGATTATTTTAAATCTTCATTAGTTCTAGATTTTACAAATGAGAGTCAGACTATTTACGTCGGCTCAAAATCACTCATAGTCCATAAGAGTATCACATAGAGGTTTGATCAGAGCACTCTTGACTGAAGAACAAGATTATGTGAGATACAACACAAAGATTGGCACCTTCTGGTTAAAGGAGTAATGTCTTCCAGAGGCAATCATCTTAAAGATCCACATACGATTCAGAAGCTAGTATCAGGTACAGAAGGGAAATGGGAAGTTGGAACACAACCCCTATGTCACCAAAACTCCTTGCTCTGTAGGAAAACTCTCCATGTTATGAAACACTATGTAGATAACACAGGAGGCAGACAGCAGAGAGCTTAGTCCCACCAGCTGTGCATTCACCAGATCTGGGTCTGGTTCTTGACTCCCCAGTCAGTGGTGCTGAGACATTAGGATACCCCCTTCAGCCCTCAGACCTTCCCCCTTGGGTTGGAAGCCTCAGGGCAGAGTGTAGAGCAGAGAGATTCCAGCCTCTGTAACCAGAAAGCTCCTACTGTGTATCAGGATCATTCACTTATTAGCTGAGTCCAACATGGGTTTTCTTTTTACCATTCTGTGTCTCTGTTTTCTCATTTAAAAAGTAAAGCATGAGGCCGGGTGCTGTGGCTCATGCCTGTAATCCCAGTGCTTTGGGAGGCCAAGGTGGGTGAATCACTTGAGCTCAGGAGTTCAAAACCATCCTCACCAACATGGTGAAACCCTGTCTCCACTAAAAAAAAATACAAAAATTAGCCGGGCACGGTGGTGGTGGGCGCCTGTAATCTCAGCTACTCTGGAGACTGAGACAGGAGAATCACCTGACCCCAGGAGGCGAAGGTTGCCATGAGCTGAGATCTTGCCACTGTATTCCAGCCTGGGTGACAGAGCAAGACTCTGTCTCAAAAGAAAAAAGCATGTACTAATATTATATAACATATATACGTAATTAAGATAGATCATGAGACAGGTGTGAACATACAGTGTGAGTTTCATGTGAATTGTTGATCCCAGTGGCTGGAACAAAGTTAGTACTCATTTAGCCATAGCAGAAACTGTCATGGTAGATGATTGTTTTTTCCTTTTTTTTTTTTTTTGATTACCAACTGCTGCCAGTGCTCTTTTACTTGTTTTGATGACTTAGCCCTTACCTGTATTAAAAGCCTAAACATAGAATGATACTCAGGCAATATTGGTAAAAAATAACAAATTAACCTGAATTGGATTTTCCTGGATATGAACACTGGAAATATTTCATTTTTCAACATAAATAATAAATCCCCTATCTTGACTTTTGCCAACATTTCTGCATCTGAGTCACTGTTCCCATCTTTTACTTGTTAAAATCCCAGTAATGAGAATCAAGGCTGCCCGAGTATCTGCAGAATCGGGGAGTGTGCCAAAGGATCCAAGAGTAGATCCACAATTTCCCATTCTGAGAAGAATCTGAGATTTTATTTCAATTAATTTAAATTGGCATACAATCCAGCTTCTGTATCACGTTGCTTTTACATTTGGTAATAAAAATTTTAGGCCAGGCCAATAAGGCAGGAGCAATTTACTGTAGAAATGTCACTTTTATAAAATCTGAATACTAACTAGACTTCTTTTTCTCTCATTGCTTCATCATGTTAAGGAAGTATAGAGCTTTTTGTTCATTTAAAGCACACACAGAGACACATGCACCACACACACACTGTAGAACACACAGAAAAGCATCCCAGAAGTCCTTGCAGAAATACGGAGATGGCTTGCATCCTACTGCAGTGGGATTTGAGAAACGAGGTGTCCATCATGCCGTAATGTACCATAGACTGTTTCTATGGATTTATCTTTGTATATGTATTTTAGGGTATTTAAGGTTTAGCAAACACCCTGCACTTCAATTTTTTCTCTCGTATTCATGCCCAAGTCTAAATCTATTGGGTCTGAGAAAATGAGCAGATTCTTGTGTACGTGGTTGAGGAGCTCAGTGGGTCTGGTCATCCAAGGTTTGCTTCAGACTCCAAAGAGACCCTATCCTTCCTTGTCTCATTGACAGGGTCTCTAGGATACAGGGATTTGCAGCCACCCTCACCTGAGGTCCTACCTGAGACACTCCCCTGCAGATGGCCACCCACATCTGTCCAGCCAGTACATGCTGGGGTATCAGTGTGAGGCAGGGTTATCACCCACTCTAAACAGTGTGACTTCACAGCCACAGTGCTGTGTTCCTCTCTGGTGGGATAACACTCATATCCTGTCTTCTTCCCTGAGACTGAACATAAGGAAGCACCCACCTGGCTCCTCTTGGCTCCAGAGCTCTGTGCAGGGAAGCGTCAGTCAGGATGAGCAGGGACACCGGAGTCCCTAGTTATAGGGACAGGGCTCCTGGGGCTGATCTCTCCACAGAGATGCCATTATCATATCATCTGTAGGGTCCATGACATTGTCAGTAGGGAGAGTCTGGAGAATATTTAGTGAGGAGCAAAATGTATCCCCAGTGAAAATCCCCCTCAGCCCCTCTGGTGATGAATGACAACTCTCGGCAATTAGTGAGAGGATGGTAAAAAGCAGCTGAAGCAGAGGCACAAAGTTTTCTGTGCTCCCTGTAGGAGAGTTTAAGTTCAGAATCAATGTCATCAGAGTGGAAGGGACACTCAGCAATGGGTCTGGGCTCCCCTTTTTTATTTAAAATTGGGCATTTTCTTCAATGCGTTTTTTTTTTTTTTTTTTGAGAGAGAGAGTCTCTCTCCATCACCCAGGCTGGAGTGCAGTGGTGCCATCTCGGCTCCCTGAAACCTCCGCCTTCCAGGTTCAAGCAATTCCCTTGCCTCAGCTTCCCAAGTAGCTGGGATTACAAGTACCCACCATCATGCCTGGCTAATTTTTGTATTTTTAGCAGAGACAGGGTTTCACCATGTTGGCCAGGCTGGTCTCCAACTCCTGACCGGTGATCCACCCACCTCAGCCTCTCAAAGTGTTGGGATTACAGGCATGAGCCACCGTGCGCAGCCCTTTCACTTTTCTAAAATCACGCTGGCACTCGAAGCCTGCTGATACAGAGCATCTGTGTAGGATCCAGAGTCTGGTCTTCCCCATGACTTTAAGTCCCACAGCTCTGGTTGTTTATTGCCGCAGGTCTGAGTAGTCTGGAAGACATCCCATTTGAAGCTTTTCTGTGTCATCTCAGACCTCATGTTTCCCTAATATCTACAGGACTCTGCTGGAGACTAATTTTTTTCCGTGTTTCCATACAGCCCTGCTTCCTTGTCTGTCTTTGGCCTACCAGGCTCTCCCCCTTTATTCCTGAATGCAAACAGCATTCCTGGTCACATGGGCTGGTATTAGGTGAAGGAAACATAGGAGGAAGATTATGCCAGCATTCTTTAACATTGTGGGAAAAAGCCAAAAGCAAATAGAAAATTTGACAAAAACGTTGATAATTACTTAAACATATGGAAGTAAAAGTAAAGCAAAATGCGAACGCTCTCCACTGAAGACTAGAAAATTCAGCCTCCCAAGTATCCAAAGAATCTGTGTGCCATGGGAGCCAAGAGTAGGTCCACAACAATTTCTCATTCTCAGGAGAATCTGAGATTATATTTTAATCTAATGAAAACTGATACATAATCCACCTTATCACCTTTTACACTCTAATAAAAATTTTAGGCTGGGCGCTGTGGCTCACACCTGTAATCCCAGCACTTTGGGAGGCCGAGGCTGGTGGATTACCTGAGGTCGGGAGTTTGAGACCAGCCTGACCAACATAGTGAAACCCCATTTCTACTAAAAATATAAAAAAATTAACTGGGTATAGTGGTGGGTGCCTGTAATCCCAGCTACTTAGGAGGCCAAGGCAGAGGTTGCAGTGAGCTGAGATCGTGCCATTGCACTCCAGCCTAGGGAACAGAGTGAGACTTCGTCTCAAAATAAATACATATATTTATGTTAGACCAAGCCAATAAGGCATGAGCAATTTACCGTGGAGAACTAGGGAATGTTTACTCATGTCAGTCAGTGAGGTGTTTAATATTGTCTTTTAAAATATATATAAACAGTGTAGATAGATTTGAATAACATTGAATTTTTAGAAAAAATCTGTTGGAGTGTCATATACGAAAGGATAAGGCAAGATTTGAAAATGCTTTTTAATTGGACAAGAAAACTGATCAAATCTAAATGTGGACAAACTAGAAAATTTGGGTGCTTGCAATACAATCTATAGACACATTCTAGCATCACTTCTACGTCAGAAGTATCAGGATTGTGGTGCCTGCAAATCCATGGTCCTACACACCAGGACATCCTCTAAGAAATTAAAGCCATGCTTTCAAGAGCATTTAGCACTAGTTTAACATACTTGTTTTTCTAAGTGTCACAAAGTAGGATGGGATTTCTAAAGATAAGGGAATATAGGACCTAGGCCAAGACAATCAACACATACCTATTGAATCACACTCCATAATCATATTGCTAGAACACTGTCAGGGAGTAGCCCTGACATCACAGCCCTGCTGCCGTGACATGCAGTTACAGGATAGAGGTGCCAGGAGGAGAAGTGCCCATTATGATCAAAGAAAGCCTTTGTGAGAAGACTACTTCAGGGCGTTCCCCATTAGGGGATCACACCCCTGATCCTGTATTCCTCCTCAATCCAAGGTTCATGTGAAATGCTCAGGTGGGGACATTTTTCTTCCAGAGCCATCAGCATCTTCTGAGATTCTTCATCAAAGGCAGATTTCTGTAGCCTGGGAAAATAGAAATAATTTTTTGTTTTTTCATTTTTACACAGTATTGCCTCTTTACATTCTGATGTCTACCTCTTCTCTCCTCTCTATTCTTTCCTAGAAATCACTGAGAGGATTGTAGTGAATTTGAAAAAACAAGCATGAATCTTTCCTATAGAATAGGAGGCCTCTGATTTATATTATAAACTGAAATTTCATATACAGCATGTATTGATTAAGATTTAATTCAAAAAAGATGAATTTAGGTTAAAAAAAGAACAACTTCATTTGATGTTCATATGACCCCGCCCATTTATTGCTTCTTAAAATGTGGCTTAAACATATTATAAGCTTTTCTCAGAGATACTAGTATAATGAATTCACGTACCCATCACCAGCTTCTACAATTATCAATATTCAGCCTCTTCCATTTACAACCCACCCATTTTTGAGACGTAATTAAAGCAAACGCTACACGTATAGAATATTTAAAATGTCCCTTTCTATTTTTGGTATTTTCAGTTTCTTTCATGTCATTGTCTCCTGAACCCACTTCAATAAAGCTGGTTTTTTTAGTCACTAATAACACCAATTTTTAAAATAAATTCTATCTCACTTAACCAGTTAGCATTGAAAACAATTAATGACACATCTATTTTTCCCCTTAGTTTACTGGACACTGCTTTCTCCTGGCTTCCCTCCTCCCCCACCAGCTATCCTTCTTGCCTTATACATTGAATCTTTATCTCCTTATGTCTTCTACATATTATCAGCATCAGGAAAATATAAAATACCAGTTCACAAATAACTGTCAAGATTGGAACACAGGCTTTTCTGAAAGAAAGAATATGACTAACATTTGCAATTTTCTTCTCCCCTCTCCCCATGTCCTTTCCTCCTGTCTGGTGTTCATAGTTATGTGCATTTTTATGTCCAGTTATAAAAAGTTGAGGAGGATTCGCAGGTCAGAAAAATTCATAGACGCTTAGACACAGGAGAAGGAGTTTATTACCTTAAATCTTCAGAAGTAGAGAAGATGGCTAAATTTCCTTTCAGTTACAGTGACACTGTGACAAAGTTATCCAGAACCAACTGCTCTGAATGTTTGCTACTGTGGAAATGGCGTGTTTTGGGTGCGGGGATGGTAGTTGAAGGCAAGCGAGACACGGTAACGGTTATTTTATAATGCAGGTCCTCAGTACCTGGCCTGTCCCTATGGGTACTGGGTCTCGGCCTCCTCGCTGAATTCCTCTCTCCCTCCCTCTGCTGTAGAGCTCCCGGGACTCCCTTCCAGCCCCATCCCAGGGCCTGTGCGTTTTGCTGTAAGCTCCTGGGGTCCTCCGTAAAAATTCTTGATACGGTTTGGATCCATGTCCCCCACAAATCTCCTATTCAATTATAATCCCCAGTGTTGGATGTGGGATATGGTGGGAGGTGACTGGATCATGGGGTGGAGCCTTCATGAATGTTTCACACCATCCCGTTGGTACTGTTCTCATGATCCAGCTCTCTTGAGATCCGGTTGTTTAGATGTGTGTGGCATCCTCCTGACTTTCCTCCTGCTCTAGCCACCGAAGATGTGTCTGTGTCTCCTTTGCTTTCCATCACAATTCAAAGTTTCCTGAGGCCACCTCAGAAGCAGAAGCCGCTGTGCTTCCTGTACAGCCTGCAGACCCGTGAGCCAATCAAACCTCTTTCCTGGCCGGGCACGGTGGTTCACACCCGTAATCCCAGCACATGGGGAGGCCGAGGCAGGCGGGTCATGAGGTCAGGAGTTCGAGACCAGGCTCACCAACATGGTGAAACCCCGTCTCCACTAAAAATACAAAGATTAGCTGGGTGTGGTGGCGCATACCTATAATCCCAGCTATTCATGAGGCTGGGGCAAAAGAATCGCTTGAACCCCAGAAGTGGAGGTTGCAGTGAGCCAAGATCGCGCCACTGCATTCCACCCTGGGCAACAGAGTGAGACTCTGTCTCCCAAAAAACAAACAAACAAACAAAAAACCTCTTTTAAGTTACCAGTCTCTGCCAGGTGTGGTGGCTCACGCATGTAATCTCAGCACTTTTGGAGGCCGAGGCAGGTGGATCACCCGAGGTCAGGAGTTTGAGATCAGCAGGGCCAACATGGTGAAACCCAGTCTCTACTAAAAATACAAAACTTAGCCGGGCATGGTGGGAAGCGCCTGTTATCCCAACTTCTCAGGATACTGAAGCACGAGAATTGCTTGAGGCTGGGAGACAGAGGTTGCAGTGAGTAGAGATTGCACCACTGCACTCCAGCCTGGGCAACAAAGCAAGACTCTCTCAAAAGAAAAAATTACCAGTCTCAGATATTCTTCATAGTAATTCAAGAACAGACAAATACAGTTCAGCTGACCTCTTTGAACTCTGCTGGGAACTTTCCTCAGAGCCCACCCTGGGAGTATTTCTGGTCAAGTACACTGTCAAGAGCTGTGTATCTGTAGCCTTCGTCGCTCCTTTCAAGGTCCATCTAAATAACCCCTCAAGCTGCAGAACTCCGCCCCTGAGCATCAGTGTCCTCACCCAAAAGGCAGCGTTAACATGAGTGCCCTCATAGACTACTGTGAGTTAATGTACTTAAGGAACTCAGAACTGTCCCTGGCCCTCTAGAATCTGTCCATCTGCCCTGCCAGCCACCCCAGGCCCCTTCTGCCTCTTCATCAGCCAGTACTGCCCTGGTCAGGTAGCCTGCCTCACACTGCTCAGTAACCCCCAACCCTAGCTTTTCTCAGCATCTCACTTATTACCTCTTACATACCAATCCTCCCACCCCCGCCTCAAGGGCACAAGGACAGAGATGTGAAGGGTTTTGTTCGTGACCGCGTCCCCAGCACATCATCCTAGCAAGCACTCAAATATGCATCCTACAGGCTGGGCTCCGTGGCTCACATCTGCAATCCCAGCACTTCAGGAGACCCAGGCGAGTGGATCGCTTGAGCACAGGGGTTCGAGACCAGCCTGGGCAATATGGTGAAACACCATCTCTACCAAAAATACAAAAATTAGCCAGCCTTATAACCCAGTCTCAAAATAAATAAATAGAGATTAAGATTTGCTTCCAGGCCGGGCGCGGTGGCTCAAGCCTGTAATCCCAGCACTTTGGGAGGCCGAGGCGGGTGGATCACAAGGTCAAGAGATCGAGACCATCCTGGTCAACATGGTGAAACCCCGTCTCTACTAAAAATACAAAAAATTAGCTGGGCATGGTGGTGCGTGCCTGTAATCCCAGCTACTCAGGAGGCTGAGGCAGGAGAATTGCCTGGACCCAGGAGGCGGAGGTTGTGGTGAGCCGAGATCGCGCCATTGCACTCCAGCCTGGGTAACAA